TCTGTTTGCTCTTTCAGGGCAATTTGCAGCCTGACTGCTGAGGAAACAAGAACATCATGTGATTTTCCACTCTGTGCTTAATAGTCATCTTGCTAAAGTGTTGTCATAAATATATAATACATGTTTACTTTTTGTTATTATTAACAGAGGAGTTGAACGCAAACCAATCAAATCCTGTTTACATTTCAGAAGCAGAGAATCCATGATGTTCCATAAATTAAAGATATTTACTAAAGAGATTTTTTAAAATAAGACTTGCTAAAGTCCAACCTAAAAAGACAAAAAAACAAAAACAAAAGTCTTTTCCCGCTTCGGAGCAAAGTGTTTCACATACCAGAGCCCAGTGTAGTGAGGGAGGAGCGGTCGTACTTCTTCACCCACTGGTCTCCATATTTGATGAGGAGGCGGATTGCGGTGGGAGCTCCGTAGAACTGGTTGATCCTCAGCCTCTCCACCATGTCCCAGTATCTCCCTGAGAATAGAAACAACCTGCTATTGTCCCGCACAGGGGAAATTCAAAGTGGATTTCATAGATTTCCCAAACTTTTCAAGAATGTGCAGAAACTCTGCACCAATTTTAAATTTAAAACATTATTTTAGAATTAAAAACCTGGGTCAGGATACACTGGAGTGCTCTCAAACAGAACGGTGGTCCCTCCGTTGGCCAGGGGCCCGTACACCGTGTAACTGTGTCCAGTGATCCAGCCTATATCTGCCACACAGCCGAACACATCCCCGTCACGGTAGCCGAAGACGTACTGGACACGAACCGGACGGAGGAGACACGTTAAGCGTTACGTTTGTAGAGACTGATCAGCAATCTGTTTGTGTTTGTGGGATTGCTGCTCACCCTATGGGTGAGAGCAGCATACAGCAGGTATCCAGCCTGCGTGTGGACCAGGCCTTTGGGCTTCCCCGTGCTGCCAGATGTGTATAACAGGAACAGGATGTCCTCGCTGTCCATAACAGCTGGTGCACACACCACGTCCTCCTTCAGCATCTCCTGAGCAGAACAGTGAGGCCATGACAGGGTCAGGAACACAACAGTTTATCACAACAGCTCAGGAGCACCTCCTGTTTTTATCACATCAAAGTCAGCAGACGGGAGTTTGCTCAGCTGTTCCATGTTCGATTTTTTTTCAGAGAATTCCCTGAAAGTCTTTTCTAAAACATGACACCTTACTTTATGAACAGCGTATCCTGAAAACACAGAGTCAGCGTCAGGCTCTCACCTCTTCCAAGGCGAAGTCCCTGTCTGTCATCTCGACTCGTTTTTCAGTCCTCATGGCCACAAACACCTGCCGGACAGTCGGACAGCTCTGGACGGCTGCGTCCACCGTCCTCTTCAGCTCTGTGATCTTCCCGCCCCGGACGCCCTGGTTCACGGTGATGACGGTGCTGGACTGAGCTACAGACAACGCAGGGAAGGAGAAGTAAAGAAACGGCTGCACAAAAGGATTTATAATTGCGTCAATCAGAATCAGCTCTCAGTGTTTTGATCCTTTTCTTCTATCACAAAAAGAACATACAAAGAAGCACAAAATACAATTTTCTGTGTCTTTAAAATAGCTGCAAAACCAGCCTGGAGCAGGAATGGTTGGTCATCACACAGTGAAAAAGATCAGGATTGATCATGTGTGCAAGCCACCTAGAAAAAAACCAAAGAATTATTAGGTTTAGAGTCTGGGTTATTTTTTTCACACTATTGGATTTTTGAGACATCAATAAATTCAATTTTATTTTGACTATTTTTATTCCACCTTACAATTATGTGTTCCTTTGTGTTGGTTAATCCAACATGATGCACCCTTCAAAAACGATGAGAGAAAAAAAAGGTAGAAAAGCTGAATGAGCATGAAGACATTACATGTTTTTACACTCCAGTTAATAAAAATTGAAGTTTTTGGATTCGGATACATATTATTCTTTGAACAACAATTCAGTTAACAAACTCACACAACCCTTTTAAAACCCAGCCAGTTGTTCCTGGGATTTCTGGAACAACTGAGGCAAATGAAGGGGTTGGAGATGATCCCCTGTTGTTGCGCCTCTTTTAGATGAGTTGGCAAGTAAGTGTGAAGTGGGTATTTGCTTCATTGTCAGTAGGAGAGCGTCCCTCACTCTGCTGGTTCCGCTGTGTCTTCTTTATTCACTGGAGGACACATCATCACAGGGCTAGGCCAGCTCAAGTGGGTCATTGTGAATGACCAGAGGAAAGGGGCCCGTCTCTGCAGCCATACCATAAAATCCTTAAAAAAGGCTTTTTATTAGACTCTCCTTTAATATTCTGTCCAAATATATTGAGAACTAAATAGCTCACTTTTATCTTTCCGCTGGGTTTTTATATGAATTGCTGCAGTTCTTCATATTTTCTATAAAAGTAACGTACCCTGAATTTGTGCCTTTAATACAAGAGGTTCAAAAAATGGTTTATGTTGCATTTTTTTTTGTACAAATTAGTCCGTTGTTCTATTGTGGAAGACTGTCCAAAGTAATCCAAGCATGTATTCCTATATTCTTTTCTAATCTGCATGCAGAAATATTATAATCTAAACTGCTTAACACAATATGGAATTAGAAAATAAGTTTGATAATGGCTAATTACAATCCCACATCATAGATGCAGCAGGTGAGTAAAAAGAAAAATTGACTTTGTAGGTGTGAATTCAAATATTTGCAAAACGTTTCAGATTTTTCCCTTGTAAAAATGTTGAATGACTTTAAATTTTCTCCTATCGCATTAAACAAAACAACGTATTGTTATTTGTACACATTGTAATGTTTAACTTTGGATTTCACGTTGTTATTTAAAACATTTAAAACATCTAAAATATTGTTTTTTTAACACGTCAAGTTTGATCATTCATGAAACAAGAAAAGGCCATAAGAAATAAAGGCATTTTTATAGAGTTCTAACATTCATTCACATTTATGGATACATCTTCCTATCATTTTTATGGTGCAACGTCCCACTGTTAAAGGAGATAATAAGCTGAAGGATGCTTCTATGACCCTGTTAGAAAATTGACTAAGTCAAGAGAGAAGAAAAAAAAAAGACTTCTCAAATGACAAAACTCATTTATTTATAGACAACCCTGAGATCAGCTGTTTGTTGTGTAAATCCAACAATATGCACATCTCACCGTCTCTTATGCGCTCTGCCAGGGCTTCTGAACTGAAGCCTGCAAACACCACATTGTGGGCAGCACCGATCCGGGCACAGGCCAGCATGGAGGCCACAGCCAGAGGGCAGGTGGGCATGTAGATGGTGACGCAGTCCCCCTTCTTTACGCCGTGCCGCCTCAACAGGTTCCCCAAGCGGCATGTCATCTCCAGGAGCTCCCTTACCAAGATAAAGTGTCAATCACAATGTAATAACAGAAAAAGAAAGGCTCGTGACTATGATGATTCTAACATCCTCACCTGTATGTGTACCTGACCTCTGACCCTTGCTCATCCCTCTCCCATATCAGGGCCACTCTCTCTGGACAGGTGTGCACATGGCGGTCCAGGCAGTTCACTGTACATATGCACGACATAAACAAAGCAGCGTTACCCACGTGGTGCGTTCAGGGCGCACGTTATTATTATTATCAGTTTGTCACCTCGTAAAACTGTAAGCCAGATAAAGTGAAAATCTCACCGGAGACGTTCAGCTTTCCGCCCTCGAACCACTTAATCCTCCCTTGGCTCAGATCGCAGTCCTGCACAGCGTCGAAAGGTCGGATCCAGCTCAGCCTCTGACGGGCCACGGCGTCCCAGAAGCTCTCGCCGTGGGAGACCGAATAGTCATGCAGAGCGTCGCGGCCGGAAACGCCCTCGAAGCCCGCAGACTCCGGCATGAAGGCCGCCGAGTTCCAGCTGCTCCTGCCGCGGCGCAAAACGTGAAGGAACGATGCCGAGACGCCACGTCTGAAGGAAGCAGCCACGTACTTCGCAGTGCATCTGACAGGAAGCCACATAGTGTTGCTGAAACTAGTCCGAGCTGCGCAAAGAAAGAGTGAAAACCATTTCAGCAGAAGGAGAAAAGTTTTGTGTTGCAAGATTGGAAATGTTGCGCTCGCTGTTTTTGCGCTGGAAATCTTGGAAAGTCCTGAGAGGAAGGGCTTGATGAGTTAAAGGGCGGTCGCTAAAAAAAAAAAAAAAAGAGAGAGAAAAACTATCCGCCGATACTTTGTCCCTTCGAAGAAAAATACTAAACTGTGTGCAAAATAAAGATTGTGCTCCTTTCACATTAAAATCACTCGTCAAATTAATATTAAAATATAGTTTCAAATATCATCAAAATTAATATCTATGCAACAACTTGCATGCAAAGCGTTTGTCAGTGTTTGAGCAATAAAGGTGTGGCAATATCCTGTAAGGCTCCTTTTCAGTGAAGTTTATTGGCTGTAAAAAAGACTCATTGCATGAAGAGGTTAAGTTGTTCATATCAGACAAGCAGCTCTGTTTCTGCGCTGAACACATACAGGTCACAGCCAAGTGTTGATGAAATGGGCGTTCGCCCAGGGCGCCAACATCCTGAGGGTAAGCTGGAAGAATAAAACAAACGGGACAATGGGATGATGTCTTTGCTTTCTTTTTTCAGTCATCCTCTGGCTGTTTATTCTTTTGCAGTTGAATAAGTTGACTTTAACGCCACCCACAGGAATAATTGGTGTTCTTGATTAGGATGAGGCTATTAATTTTCCCTTTACCTCAATAATAACTGATAATGAAAATCCTGCTGGCTGGGAATGTTTGCTCCTTTTGACATATTCTTTTCTCTTTTGCAGTTCACAACAACACAAATCTTCCAATTGAGATTCAAGACTGAATTACCTCGTCTGTAATGAGGTTGATCAAAAACCTCCAGCAGCTTTACCATTACAGCATATATTTTGAAGTGAAAAAAAAAACTATTTTAGATTGATTTTCATCTCGGTCACCATCACGGAGGAAAGGAATTTCAGTCAGAACAAAAAAAAGGAAAAAGGATTTTAAATATAAGTAACTTTTATTTAAACTACAGTCACATTTATAAAGGGACAAATAAGTACATGTCATGAAACCGTCAGACACTTTAAATATGTACACCACGCTTTGATCGCCTGAAAACAATGTTTTAATCTTGTAATGTTCCCAGGATTTGGTACCCATATTTGCTGTGGCACCAGTAGCAGTACCAAACAGGAGTCCAGGACTCAGTCCCACCAATCAAACAACATAGCAGGCTCATCTCTGTTGGTATTCCATCATCAATCCTTGTGATACTTTTTCCTTTTCAGTTGCTCTTCTCCTGCTGCGCTGTCTCCTCATGTTGCGCTTCCCCTCTGTGCACCAGGTCTGAAACAGTCTCCAGCATCTTTGCACTGTGCTCCAGTGCCTTTGCTCGCAGCACAGCAATACTGCACTCCCTCAGTTCCTCCTTAGAAATGGACAAACTGGTGTCTTTACTTTGTCTCTCCTCCTCTTCTTCCATCACTTTGTCTCCCGTTTTCTCCTGCCCAGGCGGCGGTGTTGGCGGCTTGCTGCTTATGGTTTTACCTTGGGAGGGGTGTGAAGGATCAACTGACTTCTTATGCATACCTGAAGAGTGAAAATAGAAATAGTTTTTGAGTTTAATCTGGGAACAGATTTAGGGATCAAAAAAAGAAAATGTGAAAGTAAAAAAAAAACAACCAAAAAGTAAGGAAATTAGAGCAGAAGTTCTTATTCAATTAGTGTTTCCTAATTGATTTAATCTAATCAATTGACATGAGGTGACATGAGAACTAATCTGTCTTGATGAGGAGGGATTAGTGCTGTATTGACTGCAGGCTGAGCCCCTCAGCGCATGTCAGAATACAGTTCAATTTCAGCTCTTAATTACAAACTCACAGCCAAAGGTTTTGACTTTTTTGATCATGCATAAACATGTAATATTATTTTACATTATTGATAGAAATGTGTTTCCATTCCTATCATTAATAATATCTGTTGCTCTTAAATGACTATATTTATAGATATCTTTAAGTTTGACTTTCATTTGCAACTATTATTACAAGACAATAAGCGGTTGAGGAGACAAACTGGATGTGAATGGCAAAAAAAACCCCTAAAAAACCCACTTTAAAACAGTTCTATTTCCTATATTTGAGTGTATGGCCACATACCCAATAACCAGGGAGCGTAAGAGTCCGAGATGCCGTCCTTGGCTGACTTGAGGATGGACTCAGGCAGGGGGATGGAGTGGCGGACCATTGCGCCGTACAAGCCGTACTCTGCCATCACACTGCTGCGCCCCCAACACTTCTCCCTCTTCCTCCACTTGGCTCTGCGGTTCTGAAACCACACCTGCAGAGACAGGAACAATAAACATGATGTTTTTTTTTTTTTTTTTTTTTTAAAAGGGGATTAGTCTGAAAGTGTACCAGAGATAAAAATTTATTTTTCACCTTTAAAAGATTTGTGCTGCTCTTGCTCATTTGCTACTCTGAAGTGTTTCAGATTATGAAACCAATTTAATGTCAAACAGGTTATAACCTAAGTAATCAAAAAAATGTTTGCAAATGATCTTTTTGTTAACTGGTGGAGCTTCCAGCAGCAAACCAGCCACAGATCATCACACTGCCGCCACCATGTGGTACTTTTGGTATGGTAGACCAAATGTATTCTGCTTGCAGATATGCAGACCAAAATCTTGTTAGTCTGACTGATTTAAAAAACAAGAAAATAATCTCAACTTTTCTTCCTCTCCTCTCACTGGAAGTAGAAACGCACAAGCTGTCAGGAGCGCTCACTCACACAAAAAAGGGTCGATTGCTCATCTGGGGCCTTTCCTACCAAGCAGAACAATTGTGTGTCAAAGCTGCTCTCGGTCAAAGCTTTAAAAGTTAAAGAAATCCTTACTGGATTGGTTATGTGGCAACTGGGTAGCCAGAAAATTACTGCAGAGCGTGTGTTCAGCAATCTTGCTGAGAATCTTGTTCTAATATGAGCGCTCAACAGCTACCATGTCAGTGTGGTCTATTAAAAGCACAAATTGCAAAACACTCTTGCAACTGACACATACATTTAAAATAATGTCACAGATTGCACATGATAAACCTTGAAAATGCAATCTTTTTGTGCATCTGTAAATATTCAGTAACAATCTCATGGTACTGTATGTCAGACAGCTTTGATGCAATAACAGTCATTTCTGGCCTGTTTATTTGTAAAAGTTGAACCAGGGTGCTGTGAAAGCTGCTGAATGCAAAGGGTAACAACTTCAAGCAGAACTTTTCGCTTTAGAAAAATAAAAGAGCACCAAATCGCAAAGTTATATTTCTTGATATAAGTGGAGATCAAAAATCACTGCTTCCATAGTGGGAAAAATATTTTAGGTTGTACTTTGTACTGGACTGATGACTAGATTAGCTTAACCAATAAAATGGGACACTTGAAATATTTTAGTGTTAAAATCTGATTCATTATGCTGTGGTTTGTATTGTAATGGGACATGTAATGTGGAGGAGTCGATTAGGTGTTTTCAACATTTGATTTATGTGAAAAATCTAAACAGCATCATGGCTCTGAGTTGGACATTTTGTGCCAGATGCATGTTTGGTACATTTTAAAAGCATGTGTAAGAAGCTCTAATTTCTTAAGCAAAATACCCAAACATTTCATTTAAATTTAATTCCTTTCGACGTCTTGCAGTGTGTTTTGAAAAAAATGACACAGGCCTTTAAACGCAAATAAAAGAAAACAATTTGATGATGTAATAAACAACATAACAATTTCAGGTAAATAAGAGTTTTGAGATGAACAAGAATAGCAAATAAATAAATCAATTGAAGGCAGAATGCAGGTTGTCCTATGTGGTTGCAGAACATCCTTTAAAAAAGTTTTTGTTGCATCTAAAGTAGCCTCTTGGCACAAAAACTGAATGAAAATTGTCTCATAGATGAGTTCTTTCAGAGCGAGTAGGCTTCTGACTCTTCAAGAGGTTCAATTGATTTCCACCACCTTGTAATAGTCTTGTGAATATGGATGAGAGGAAAAAAAAGAGAGATACTTTAGTGCGTGTGTGTGTGTGTGTGTGTGTGTTGGTTGTGGAAAGATGGGCAGGTATAATATTCATCTGAAATTGAAAGGCCCCAGATGAGCAATCGACCCTTTTTTTTGTGAGTGAGCGCTCCTGACAGCTTGTGCGTTTCCACTTCCAGTGAGAGGAGAGGAAGAAGCGAGAAGGCTGATTGGAAAATAAGTTAATTTCCAGACCTGGTCGATCGGAGACAGGCGCGTCAAATTTCATGGGAAATTAAAACACTTTGAGCAGCCGGGTGCAGCCCTCTGCTCAGCCGCTGACCTCCTCTAATTAATTTCTTTATAGTTACGCTTTCATTATAGGGCTGCGGCCTGTTTATGCTCAGAAAAGACGGAATCATTTTTTTTTAACAACTAATTAAAGTGTGAGGGGAAGCTGGCAGCTGAGAAAATCTCAACCTGATGGTTTTGTTTTGACAGGCCCCATTATCACAGGAGACGTGGATTATTATTATTATTATTTAGCTTTTGTTTTTTTAAACATTTTTTAAATAGATGAATTTCTTGTGGTGAAAAAAATCTGCCCACCTGTATTCTGTCCTCTGGCAGCTCAGTTTTCATGGACAGCATTTCTCTGGCGTAAACATCTGGATAGTGAGCTTCATTAAACGCCTTCTCCAATTCCTCCAGCTGGTAGGATGTGAAAATGGTTCTGCAGACAAAGAGACATTATTTCTAGTTTATTTTTCATTATAAAAATAAAGGCTACTTCTTAAAGTATTACTTTATTCAAAATTCTTTGATATCTGTTATTTTTTATAACACACACACACACGCACACACAAACACACACACACACACACACACACACACACACACACACACACACACACACACACATATATATATAATATATATATATATATATAATGCATTTTTTTTCTTTCTCTTTTTTTTAAAAAGACCCCAGTGCTACTGTATCTAATTTATTGGCAGAATATAAAGTCAATGAAAAGAAATAAAATATAAAAATGAAACCAGCTATAATTAAACTTTGTTATTATTATTCACATAATAATAATAATAATAATAATAATAATAATAATAATAATAATAAATAATGATTAATAATTGACAATGATATTAAACTAAACTTCAAACATTATCAGAGTCTATCATAGAATAGATTGAAGATAAAAATATGTAAAAAAAAAGTTTTTATTAAATAAAGAAATAAGCAAACAAACAAATAAATAATATTTACCTGTGTCTTCTTTTCTTTCTCTTCTTGCTTTGACACATGGATGAGGTGGAGAATTTCGGATCACCGGAGGAACTCAAGTCATCTGAATCTGTGATCATATGTCACAAAATCATTACAGGAGATCTATAAGCAACTCTGTCGTTTCCCCCCCAAAAATAACAATTACAAATACAGTTTATACCGATTAAGTCGTCTGATTTACCTAAAACGGCATAACGTTGTGCATTTCTACTATCTCTTTCATTTTTGACGCAGGTTCGGTCAAAAATGAAAGAGATAAAATGGAATAATTACGGAAAAGAAAAGACAGACTCCCATTTTCGGGGAATTTCATAATTTCCATTTCAAATAAAACCTATGAAAAACATTTTATACTTTTAATAAGACAAAAAAAAATATTAAATGCTTAATTTCTGCGTTTCCCATGAGTCTTTAAAATTTTGCGCCAGAAATGTAAGGAATACTTTTATCTGGACCGAGACACTCACCAGAGCTGGCGCCCGAGTGTTGAGCCTCCACTTGGGGCTCCATCTGCGGCGCCCTGTGCAGTGGCTGCAGGTGCACATTTTGCGCCTCGGACAGCACCTCCAGAAAAGCAGGTTGGCCGTAAAACGCGTGTATACTCTCCGGGCCCAGGAAACCCATGCCGACTCCGAGCCCTGCGTGTCCGAGGGCCGACCTGGCGGCCAGGACGTGCGCTCTGTGCGGCAGAGTCTCCAGGGGCCGCCGTGGCGTGGTCGCCGGAGGCTCCTTGTTGAGGCCGAGCAGCTCCTGGATGCCAAAGCCGGTGCGCCGCTGCACAGTGGGGGCCATCTTCCAGACCGGAGGCTGATGCTTGGAGTCCCCAGGGTTTAGGACGTTCTGTGAAGCTGTTCTCTGTTTGTTCTCTGTGTCTGAAAGCACAGCTCCCTCCTTACCAGTCATACTGTTGGCCTTCTCTCTCTCTCTCCAGCAAAAATACTCCTGTTCGCTGGTACGCAACAATGATATAATGCTTTTTTTTTTTTAAGCCTGTGCTCAGCTGCGCTGTGCTTTTTATTCAACGGGCAACAGGCGGCAGCCAATCAGAAGAGAGGGGAATTTACTGAAGTTTCTGTCAGATCCGTGAAGCCTCATGGGAGAAATCACTGGCAATTAGCAGAGAATAAGAAGATATACATGTATTTTTTAAACATGAAATTATTGATAGGACACATAAAGAAAAATAGTATTGATGCCATATTTATGAGAACTTATTGTAAGGTGCTCTATGGCTTTTATTTTAATTAATTATTAGATTTTTAACGCTATTGTATTTTCAAAATCTAAACTGTGTCCCTCTAAACTTTTACATATATATTTATATATTTTCTTCATCACATAAAAAATAACAGGAACATGTTGTAACGTCATCATTATTGTTGTTGTTATTGACATTTTTGGTCTCAAATGCTAAATAGACACATCAGAAACAATGTAAAGCGTCAAACGGAAACGATTCATGACCGACAGAGAAAATCAGCATTAAACAGAAGACATTCTGCAAAAAGAAGTCGAGAATACTAACATCTTCACTCGCGAATGTAAAGAAAAGCAACAAAAATCGGCGCCAGACGAAAAACATTTCAGCTTACTGAAGCAAATCTAAGCTGAACGCATGCAGGGCCCAGCTTCCTTCCCAACGTCCCGCTGTGATTTGCATATTCTAATTAGGTTTGCGCACTGAACGTTTTGTCTTCGTGGCCACAATCCGCGCATCTGTTGATTGGTTTATTATCATTCGACGGGTCACGTAATAAAGTTGTCCCAGTTTGGTGTATTTAGGACACACCACGGCGGTAATTAAATATGAGATCAACAACGAAAGCAAACGACAACAGATTTATCCTCCACCCCCTCCACGCCCTCTGGGCGCACTGTTGGTGCCGTTTGACACATTAAATAAAAATAAAACCGATACACGCTAAGAGGTTACAGACCGAGTGATTTAATCCAATTTGGAAGGTGAGAGCAAACGAGGACGTCAAAGGAAATCATCAGTCAATTATGGAAGAAATACGTGAAGCGCTTGGAAATGCTCTCGTTCCTTCGCCCCTTTTTCTTCAAGCCTAATCTTGTCTAATGAGCTATTATTCAATTAATGCGGGAATTTCAGTCGTTTGGAGATAATTTGTGGCACGCTTTCGGACATCTGGACAGACAATCGCGCACAGGAGAGTTTTATGGAGATGAGGAGACGCGCTGGAAGGAAGCGGCATCACTGGGACATGTGTGGCGATGAATGCATAAATAAACAAACGGGAGGCTCCCACGGGAGTGCGGTGGGTACCCGCCACGAGAGGAAAGACACCAGGACAGATTCAGACACGATCAGATTTGGCTTCGACCCGAGAAAGTCGATTGTCAAATGTGTTTCTGCGCGCCATTTTTTCCCAGCGAGACCATAAATATAACGGAATGAGCTTTTAAGAGATCAAAATGTGACTTTTTTGGTAAAAAGTTTTATTTTAAAAACAGAAGAAAGAGAAAAAAGTCTCTGATATAAATAAACAAATAAATGAATAAATAAATAATATTTTTTGTGCCATTTATTTGAACAAGAGAAAATATTATTTTTTTTCATTATGTAACAGAAAACTCCCTGGCACCATACCTGTTTAAGTTTGAACAAAGGGTATGAAGTATGTTCATTACATCCCTTAATTAGGTTTAAAATTGGCTGTATTGCAGAAAAATACAAATGCTGTATGTTTTGTATTTATGTCAAAAAGAAAGGATACCAGCTCCCCTTGGGTCAGGGTGAAGCCCTAAGCCATCCAGGGAGGCTCAAAGTAGAGCTGCTGCTTCTCGGCATGGATGGGAGTCAGTTGAGGAGGTTTGAGCATCAGGTCAGAATGCTGCCTGGTCTCCTCCCTGCAGGTTTTCTGGGCACATTTCACTGGGAGGAGACTCCAGGGAATACCCAGAACTCACTGAAGGGACTATCTGTCCCATGTAGCTTGTGGAAGCCTTGGGATCCCTCAGAATAAGATGGAGGATGTGGCTGGAGAGATGGAGGAAAGGGGTTTCCTCCTGGACCCTATCTTGGATAAGTGACGTACCGGACAGATGATCGAACAGACAGACAGGTGAATAACACAGCATTGTGCTGTTATATAAGGATGATAAATTAACTTTAGAGCCATTTCAAAACCTTTTCATTTAACAGGGTTCTGGTATATGCAGAGTTATTAGCATAATAATGCTGTGGTAGGACATCTGCATGAATTAACTAAAATTGACAATGAAGAAGAACAACAAATATTGGCTTATAAGGATGCTTAATTGACTTTATTGACATTACATAGTCACTGAGTCCCTCACTTTTTAATGTTGCCACTCACCATCTCATCAAGTACTCTCCACTTTCTTCACTTTACCTGCTTCACATTTCGATTTGATGTCTAACATTTAAGCCACAGCAAATAAATGTATGTCTTCTGGACATCTGGCAGAATCTGCTTGCAGTTTTTTCCTGCTACACTTTTGGTTTTCCATTTGTATTTATGCTTCCTCTTTGCAGTGAACCCTGATCCGGCCATTAAGAATGTCCTCTTGGCAATAACACCATCATTTGAAGTGCAGTTAAAGTTTTGTGGTTCTTATATTAAAAGGGAGGAACCGGCCTGAGAGGAGAACAGCAACATTTTGTGAAGAAAACATCAAGTGAGAGAATGTGTAATGGACTGATGAACTGTTCCAGAAAGTATGTTTGCAGCAAAAAATGATAATGCAGTGGAATATGCCATATTCATATTTCAACGTGATGGTGTTGAAATATGACAGAGAAACAGAGAGGTTACCTGAATCTGAACAATAGTTTTCATTTCAAATGAGAAGCGTATGCATTAGACTCTTCCAAAAAGTGATGTATACAATCAACGATAATGATCAGTTTGGAGGAAAGGCGTTCTCTCTTGCTTTCACATCCTTGTAGTTTTATTAGTGGGAGGTTTAGAACTTTTTCTGCCTTTGGTCCAAAGGTTCGGTCTGATTTTCTGACCCGTCTTTAAATTTGTCTCTTTGTTCTATCTTTATCTTTGTAACGACTCCAGAAATGGCCCTTCTAATCTAGCTAATTGCCATTTTTCCTGAGCTTGGCCTTTAGAAAGACGAGCCGGGTCACCAAACAGCCGTTGATCAAAACAACCTATTGGGGCGAGGAAACAAAAAGCTCTCACAGTACGAACAATGCGCCATCGGTTATTCACTGGTTCACTTTGTGGGCACAAAGCATTAATTAGGGCAATAGCTTCATGCTAATGCCATTCTTTGGTCTCTATTTCTGCTCGGAAGTTTGTCTGGGATTCTTTCCCCTGTTGCTTTTGCACATGTGTTGTTTCAATAATCAGAAAAAGAAAATACTGAAAATGTGGGAGACAGACCCTATAATGGCAAAACTTTCTTGCCAAAACTAATATTCCTTACCGAGGCAGCTCCTAACTGGAATTGACATAATTACTCAGTCTGTTTCTTGTCTAATTAGCACCCTTCCACAGTAGACAGGGACTAGCACTTTGGCAGGACAGGGGAAGTGGACAGGCATGGCCGTAACAACAGGAGAAGGGGCCCCTGGTTTCAACGTAATTAGGTGAGACAATGCCCCTGACTGTTTTTGAACTATGGCAGTGGCTCGGAGTGAACAGAAGCCCCGTGAGGTACATCTCTCCAAGACCCTAATAAGCCCCTAATTGTCCTTTCTTGTTTCACATGGACAGCATCAGCAGACATGAAGACAGCCTATTCCTGGTCTCCTGTAGAGAGCGTGGTCCCAGATGAGGGGACAGGGGTCAAGGTGCCTCTGAAAGCTCATTGAGGCCATTTAGCATTTGGACGTTAGACTCCAGTTAGTGTTTGTTCACATCCTGCAGGCACTTCTAAAATAAGCAGCATTATAAAGAGTCATATTCCACAATAACTTGTGTCAGATTTTTCATCATATCCCCCAGAGACATTTGGCTGCACAAAGAGAAAAACGCCGTACTCCAAATATATTTGCAATTGTGCCTTGCAACAACATCATACTTACTGAACCTTTTCACATTTCTTCATGACAAAGTAGTTCAGAAATGAGAAATGGAAAGATAATGGCAAATATTTTACAAAAGAAAAAAATTGCACGTGGCACAAGTTTGTATTCTAACTCTTACTTTTCTACCCCAGTACAACCATCTGCCTTCAGATATGATATTTGCACATATCTGTTTAATTGATTTACTGTAAACATACAGCTGTGATGTGAACGCATAAGACGAAAGACCCAATGGATGTGTCAGGGAGAAAGCTATTGTGAACGTTGAATGTCTAACAGAGGTTTGAATGTCCAATTTAAAATATAAACACATTTTCTACATCAGGCTTTATCAATACAAGTTATTTTGTTTAAAAAATGTATTTTGCTTTGATTTTATTTAGCTGGACTGAAGGCAACAATGTCTAATATCTGGTAAGGTTGCCGACTCCTGATTTTACAACAAAATATGACAGTTTCTTAATCTTAACTTGTAGTTTCTGTTGGACATGCCACCAAACATGTAGCTTTTCCATGGATTTGCCGACGTATATTAGAAAGTGGATGTTACCTCTGATCCAAAAATAAAATTTTTGTAAGCATTTTGCTAAAAAGATTAAAAAGCGTTAGATTGACAGATGTTTTATGTCCACCAGGGGTCAGAGGGTACATCTAATTAGGGTCATATCTAACCGCAACATTAGTGTTGATTTCTCCTAGCTATTGAGCTCTGGTTCCAAAAGATTTTCAGCAACATCTTTTCGATTTGTTCAGATACTTTCTTATTTCTGGGTGTAAATTAGACACTTGTAGGAAAAGGCAGCTGGGCTCAACAGGCTGCATTTCAGCACTGCAAGATGAAACCGTTTAACTAATCACACACTCAAACACACACAGAGCGGCCCATATGTTCGGGGCCACTTCTGACGGCAGGTGGTGCTCAGAAGATTCAATATTTCATAATTCCCTCTCCGTAACATCCCCTGCGGTCAAAGTGCCGCTCACAGGGACGTCAATTCGATGTACCCTCACTCCTTTAATTAGCTGTCAATTAGTGCAAATGAATCAACTGTTCGCCTAATTAAGCAATGCCACCAGGCAGCTCCCACGTACGGGCCATTGTGCGAGCAGCATGAGAAAAGCTCAGCTAGCAAACTCGTTTTGGATCACGAGTGCAACCTAACGATCACACTGACAAACTCTGTTCATTGAACTCCGTGTCACAGTAACCGTACTGCAGCTGCCAGATTTTGAACTAATTTCCTTCTTTGACTAGAGATGACAAACATCTTGATGTCTTTTGTGTGCAAAATTTTTTAATGCAAGATGTTGTTCTGCTCCATTTTTAAATCTTCTAAAGGTGTAGATGATTCTGAAAGTGTCTAAAATGCCTCTTATGTGGATTTAAATGAAATACAACATTGAACAGCAAGAAGGTTTTTGCAAGTTATAGTTCCCATTTTCTTAATTACGTCTTGTTTAGAAGCATTATTGCCAAAAATAACTTTAAAAAAACCAAACAATTTGGTTGTCCAGTTTTAGGAGAAAAGTGACTAGCTGATCCAATAAGCTTAATGTGAACGGCAATTAAAATCTTCCAAAAATTCCCCATTCAAAAATACTAACATTTATTATACCTTGATAAAGGGCATAAAACAATAAATTGAGTTATTGACTTCTTTTTAGCCCCTCTTCCCATTCTAATCGTGTGATGTGAAAGTCTTCACTGTTTTTCCAGCCTTGTTTGTCCATCTTCCAGTTGTTTTAAACTTTTCAAATATTGCTCTGATTTCATTTGGGTAAATTAAGATCAGTAAGAATTTTTTAAGCTATTTTCTGACGTTTTATAATTTAAACTTATTTGCCTTACTTTAAACATATGTTCTATTGTCTTTCCCATTTTGAAGAGTTGCTAAGGGAAACGAGATTCTGTGTCACATCATATTTTGATCCTGAATACTGAGGAAGTCATGGTTTACTAAGAATAAATCAGGAAATGCTGCAGTTCCACAGATTGCAATGGAATATTTACCTACAGGGGACATTTGTAAAAAAAAAAAAAAGTAATAACTGTAGAGGACGATGCTGCTGCTGCAGCAAAAAAGCTTCGCCTATTTTGAATCTTTTTGCACAACACAACAACCCCACACATATGTAATGGCAGATGATCTCACCTCACACAACCATTTTAGCCTGTGTGTGTTTGAGGTTTAATCAGCGGGATGAGAAGATTCACCTAGGTTAGGGGCAGTTCAGTCGTCTCACCTCTTTCCACCAGCCACTCTGCGCCTTTACGGGCCACAACTGTCATTTAATGGATTAAACATTTATCCTTTCCTGTGCAAAGTCCCTCAGAGAGAGATGACAGCATCACCATGTTCACACAGCTAAACACCCCCCTTCACACACACATCCACACGCTTACAGAAGCACGACAACGCCTCTTTTGACGGCACTGTTTGTGCTTAAAATTCAATTACACACTTATTGATAGCTCTCTGGGGTCGTGGGGAGGTACGGATGATTTCCCACGAGACTCCCGGCTCCCCTGCACATCTCCAGCTGGATCTATTTCATGGCTTTGCTCATCAGCAGTCGGCGCAGATGGAGCACAGGAGGCCGTCGTACGCCTGCACACACCGCCGCACGCTGACTCTTAAACACACACACATCAAACACACACACAAAACAAGAGGAATATGTTGGTAACAGGGTGAAAGTGTTTAGGTTATTTCAATAATGAGATTTATCTTTGCGTTTTACTACCACTACGACAACTACTGC